ATGCATGTGTGTATCTAGTGATATAAAATAATGACATGTAATCTTATTTACATATTAACACATAGACACATGTATGAATGCATACCTCGACTTATTGCTTAGTAACTCTTTTGACCAATGGGATTCCAGTATGCATTGTATTAATATGAACTCCTGGATTGGCTTAACTACCTCTGATGTCACAATTTACCCATTAGGAAGTCACAAGTTTCTGGAAAACACACTGAACTAATAACATCTCTTGAATTTTCATTACAAGAATGATAAAGTACCAAGAGTAAAAATGCTGGAAGGAGCAAGGTGTCTTCCACCCAAGCTGACCTTCTTCATTTCTGTGCTTTAGCAACGTGTTCTTGACAGCTCAAGCCAGCTTTTTTTTTTTTTTTTTTTTTTTAAACCTCCGTTTACGGCAGATGTTTTGTTTTTTGTGTCTCTCAGTTAACAGAGGAATGAACCCACTTGGACTTACTCCTTCACTTCATAGTTCTGTTTCATCTTGGCTGTTGAGGCTTAGCATCTTTCTACTACTTAGCCTCCCTGACACCAAAGGAAAAGCCATATGGACGGCTCATCTGAATATAACATTCCAGGTGGGAAACCAGATCATATCAGAGCTAGGAGAGACTGGAGTGTTTGGGAACCACTCTCCTCTGGAAAGGGTGTCTGGTGCCATCGCACTTCCTGAAGGATGGAATCAGAATGCTTGTAGTCCCCTGACCAACTTCAGCAGGCCTGATCAGGCAGACACTTGGCTGGCCCTCATTGAACGGGGAGGCTGTACTTTTACGCATAAAATCAATGTGGCAGCAGAGAAGGGAGCAAATGGGGTGATCATCTATAACTATCCAGGTACAGGCAACAAGGTGTTTCCCATGTCTCACCAGGGAACAGAGAATATCGTTGCAGTGATGATAGGCAACCTCAAAGGCATGGAGCTTTTGCACTTGGTCCAGAAAGGTGTCTATGTGACAATCATCATTGAAGTGGGGAGAATGCATATGCCATGGCTGAGCCACTATGTTACGTCTCTGTTTACCTTCATGGCGGCCACAGTTGCTTACCTTTTCCTGTATTGTGCCTGGAGACCCCGAGTGTCCAATTCATCTTCCAGGAGGCAAAGGCAGTTAAAGGCTGATGTGAAGAAAGCTATTGGTCAGCTGCCACTTAGAGTGCTCAAGGAAGGAGATAAGGAGCTAGACCCAAATGAGGACAACTGTGTTGTTTGTTTTGACATATACAAAGCCCAAGATGTAATTCGTATTTTAACTTGCAAACATTTCTTCCACAAGACGTGCATTGACCCCTGGCTTTTAGCCCATAGGACATGCCCCATGTGCAAGTGTGACATTCTGAAACCTTAAAAATCCCAGAGCTCTTTCCACAGATTAAAAGTTTATGAGCTCTCTCACTGCATTGTACACACAGAAAACTTGACCCTTGGTTCCTCTATCCAGCCACAGAAGAGGAAATTTGTGTGCTTTGAAAATAAAACTCCACATCATGCCCATGAACTCTTGTCTTTTTTATCCGTTTAATTGCTAGACATTGTTGTACTTCTCCAAATAAGGAAGTAAGTAACAGTTAAAGCTCATTCTGATCTTCAGATGGCTGGTCTTTTGCCATTGGTGTAGTGGGGAATTGCTAGGCTATTGTAAAATTTCCTTTTTAACATATTTATTTGTTTTAATACTTTACCTAAGTTTTTGTTACTAACAGTTTACATCGTAATTTCATTATAGAATTAGATTTGTATTTGAATTGCCATGGACAACTGATTTTATTAATGCCAAGAAAATCTGGTTTTCAAAGCGATGGGTTGAATGGGTGCTTTATTCTTATTACTTTATGATAGGATTTTTTGTATAAATTTAAAGTTTTAAAATATTTTAGGAATCATTTAGAGCAGTATTGCAAAAGTTCACCTGTTGGCCAGAGAACTTTAAATCCTAGCATAGTGAAACAGCCATGATGACAAGAGTTTCTTGTAGAAGTATCTCTTTCAGTCTGTCATTGGCTTCTCTTCCAAATGATCGTGAGCATCTATATGACCTTTGACAACAGAGCAAAGCTAAATATTTTGTTGAGTTTCCATTCCAGTATATTTGACTCATTTTTCACCCTCTTTCTTGGTGAGTGGACAAACACCTGTATAGTACTAAAAATCTGAAAGACAAAGGTTCGAGGTTTTGGTGAAAATCTCTTAGCTTTTAGCGTTCAATATAGATGGCATGTGCTGGGGTCTTTGCAAGTCTACAAACTGTTTATTGCACTTTCCCCAAGGAGATGTTTGGAAATGAGCCAGTGATTGACTCTACAAGAGAAAAATGAACCATTGTGGACTCAAATTTCCATACTAATATTCTTTCTGATTTATTTAATTTATTGACTTTGTTAATTGACAGTTTTGCTGATATATACAGTGAATTCTGATTAATCTATATCAGACACCCCTATCCCCTTCTCAACCTATCAGTCTCCAACCCTCATCACTACTAATCACTTCTCAGTTATGACCTATAACTATGCCTATCTGGGTGACTATTGGATAAGAACCACCCACTGGAGTCTGGTGCAGTTTTCAGTGGGTTCACAGCTGAAGGCAATGGTTCCCCCCTCCCTGAGTCCATCAGTAAGAAGTAGTTCTGCAGAGTGGAGTAGACTCTTCTGAGCCTCTCCTCCAGCTGTGCCTGACTGTTGATGTGACCATTCTCGTGTAGAATCAGTAATGACATCCACAGCTTTTGTGAGTTCATAATTTCAATGACATTCTTGTCCAGGAGAAAATAGTTTGATGTCCTCCTCCTCTCAGTCTTCCAGCTTTTATATTCTTTCTGCCCCCTCTTCTGGATGGACACAGTGTCTCATTCGAGGATGAACACTTAGTTCAATAATTCTGTGTAGCCAGGAGTCTCTGTTATCACCTCTATTCACTACAAAGAGGGGCTTAGCTGCTGAAGACTGACTAGATGCTTATAGATATAGACAATACTTAGATGACACCTTAACATTATCATCCTGCCATATCCAGCCCCTTCCTCAGGGCCTTTCATCATCTTAGCCATGTGTGTTTGACCAGATTTACAAACACAGATTACCTCCCATGTAGTGAGTGGGTGTCAAATCAATCATAGCTGTTGCTCTCTAATACGGGTGCTACTATTGCCCAAGTGAGTGCATCTTTCCTGCCAGGTTGTTTTTGTAGACCAAACGATTCACAGCTGGGTAAGATCATCGGTGTCCTTTCTTTCTGGCAGCTTGCATAGCATCATCCAGTACTCAGAAAGCTAGCTGCAGGGAAGGAGCTTCTAACTCAGCTTCAGATTGATTTCTCTGTACCATGTATGTGTGCTGCCTTCATCAATAAGGTCTTATCACCTAACTGTAACAGGCAAGAGGCATGGCAAAGACCTATATTGCTTTGGAAACCTCTAGAGCAGTGATTCTCAACCTATGGCTCATGAAACTTTCAGCAAACCCCCAGCTCCAAAAACTTGTACTGTAATTCATAAACATAGCAAAATTGCAGTTAGGAAGTAGCAACAAAAAACATGGTATGGTTGAGGGTCAACACAACATGAAGAACTGTATTAGACAGCAGAAGCATGAGGAAGGGTGTGGAGCCTCCCTGACCAACACTGGACATGCTAGTTCTTGTTCTGCATGTAGAACTTCATTCATCCCTGCCTCAACTTGTTACTTCATAAACTATTTAAAAAAAAGTGCCAGGTTTCTTAGTCCTGGTTAGTCCAGGTGAAAATCGGCTTGTTTTTGAGCCCTGTGTGTAGTAGAAGCCAAAACCATTTATGTTCAAGCTTTGGCTTTCTAGCTAGTAAATAGAAGCATTGATACCTACTGAAAATGTATAGAGCAACAGTTTCCGCTGCCCATGCTTGTTAATTCTGTAGCCTTAAAGTTCTTTTAGAGCCATTGACTAAATGGTAATAAAATTGGAGGCAGAACAGGCATAGTATATAGGATCTAGGAGAGATATTAAGTTAGGTTAAACATTTTGCTTAGCATCATCTCTTTGTGACCTGTAACCCTTGTTGTTGTCATTGGTTAACTTTTTGATCTTGTTTTCTTTTTCTTTTTCTTTGTTTCTTAACCCAGGTACATTTGAAAAACAATCGAGCTTGGATTGTACAGCTATGCTTAATCTTTATTCTTCTACCCTTTCTTCTTTTCAGAGATGGGCTAGATTGGTAACAGCTGCCAAGGTCTGCAAAGAAATAAGCTTCTGTAGGTGTTTTTCATATTTATTCCTATCATTTGTATATCTCTTATGTGCTGCTGGGCTGTCTGTGTAAGTGTGAGACAAGGAGATTTAGCTGGATTCTGAACAGTGGTTCTCAACCTTCCTAATGCTGTGACCCTTTCATACGATTACTCATGTTGTGATGACCCAGACCAAAGCATTACTTTCATTACTACCTCATAACTGTAAATTTGCCACTGTTAGAAATTGTAATGTAAACGTTCTTGGAGCTATAGGTTTGCCAAAGGGGACACAATCCATAGATTTAGATTCACTGCCTTACAAGATGAAAACAAAACCAACAAATGTCCAGAAATCCTGTATCGTTTATTTATTTGCAAGTTTGTAAGAAATTGAGAATGACCAAATATGTAAAGTTAGTGTTAGAGATCTCACTGCTCCTCGGGCTCATTTGGCCATGGTCCTAATTTATGATTCTTTGGGTATTTCAAACTTAATTTTGTCAGAACTGTCTATTTCTTAGGATATGTGACAGTTGCACAGTATTCTTATATGTGCTTTGAGGTTTTTAAAGGAATGTTTGTTTGTTTTTAGTTTAATGTGCTACCTACAGCCATTTTCTATGGTTCAACAATTGGATTACCTTATAAGCACACCCAGACTCCCTGTAACCACATTGGAAACATCTAAGCCAATACATTTACAGTGTGTTCTTAGCCCTTACCTAATTGGCTGCTTGGTCTTTTATGTCACAATCACCTCATGCAACAGCAGTAAGCAGTTTCTAAAGTTACAGCAGTGAGACAGGGATTTCTTTACTATCTAAGGTTTTTCTCTCTAATAAAACATCTGAAACTCAAGACATCTTCAGAAATCTCTTGCTGAAACATGTTGGAAGTCAGTGGATCTTGTTTTCACCCGGAAGATATTTTTCCCTACCTCGTTTTGAATTGATCTGTCGACAGATGTGGCAGCCATACCCTTTGGTTGGCTTGGCTTTTGAAGTCATTTGTGGAAGACAGAGATGAATCTCCTTCACACTGGTACTTGGCAAAACAACGCTGCACCTTTCTGGCTTCTGAAATTCAGTTTTATTTGGCTTCTCAGTCACAAGTGCTGCACGGCAAGTTCAGTCTGGACTGCTTACATGAACATATCATTTCATGTGGGGAACCGAATGTTGTCAGAGCTGGGGGAGACTGGGGTCTTCGGGAGAAGTTCCAACTTGAAGAAAGTAGCAGGAGTTGTTGTGCCACCAGAGGGAAAAACTCAGAATGCCTGTGATCCCAATACCAGTTTCCCCCGGCCACAGAACAAGGAGCCGTGGATTGCTCTCATTGAGCGTGGAGGTTGCACTTTCACACAGAAAATTAAGGTGGCATCTGAGAACGGAGCCAGAGGGGTGATAATCTATAACTTCCCAGGGACTGGCAACCAGGTTTTCCCCATGTCTCACCAGACATTCGAAGACACTGTTGTTGTTATGATAGGGAACTTAAAAGGCATGGAGATTTTGCATTTGATTCGGAAGGGAGTTCATGTTACAGTCATGGTTGAGGTGGGGAGAAAACATATCATCTGGCTGAATCACTATTTTGTCTCCTTTATGATCGTCACAACTGCTACTTTAGCGTATTTCACCTTTTATCATATTCGGAGACTTTGGGTTGCAAGGATTGAGAACAGGAGATGGAAGCGACTAACAAGAGAACTCAAGAAAGCTTTTGGCCAGCTGCAAGTCCGAGTATTAAAAGAGGATGACGAGGAAGTGAGTCCAAATGCGGACAGCTGTGTCATCTGCTTTGAGCCCTACAAGCCTAGTGATACGATTCGTATTCTCACTTGTAAACACTTTTTCCACAAGAACTGCATCGACCCCTGGATTCTCACTCACGGCACATGCCCCATGTGCAAATGTGACATTCTGAAAGCTCTGGGGATTCAGGTGGACATTGAGGTTGGAACAGATTCCCTGCAAGTTCTGATGGCCAGTGAGCTGCCTGGAACCTTTTTGCCTATGGAAGAAGAGACAGATAACGAACTTCCTCCTGCAAGAACTTCGGGAAAGGTGACCCATGTGCAGGAGAACTCGACTTCTGCAAACACTGGGAGTCAGTCTCCTGCAGCCGAGGAAACTGGTCATACGTCACTTGGACAGCATGACCTTTGAGCAAGTGGATTAAACCTGTTTGTCAAATCAAGTCCTCATACAGACAAGCAGTTTGTGTGAAGTGTGCTTTTGTTGTGTGTATGTGTGTGTCATTTTGTGTCACTCTGCTAATTTTCCAAGTTCACTGACAAGGTTCAAATATAGGAGAAAGAAAACCTGGCAGGATTTTATGGCTTTTTACCTCGGCTAATTTTAACTTTTTTTTTTTTTTTTTTTTAATGAATGGATTATTATTGTGAGTGTGCCTGAGTTTATTTCTAGTTAACCTGTGTTAAAAACCAGAGTCAAACTTGCCCCCTAAATTGTTTCTATGTTTATACCTGGCTTTATTTTTAGTAAGAAAATTATTATTATATTTTTGTTGTTTTCTTATAAGAAATCAGTTGTCTTTTATGTTTTTGCAATAGTAAAAGTAATTATATTATTCTATATTAATTTGATGTCATCATGTTGCAGTGTTTTTTTTTCATTCTTTGAATGAAAATTTATTATACAGAAATTTTTTTAAATTTATCATTGATCAAGAGTTCTGTCAGGCAGTTAGTAGGTTTTATATGCATAATAGGAAAATCTTTAGAAATAAAGTACTAAAGCTTTTAAGAAAGGAAACATTTCAGTGCCCAATATTACTTATTTGTTCATAATTGTTGAATAAAGTTATATAATTACTGTCATGTTTTGTCCTGTCATATTTAATTTCCAGGGGTTTCAGTCAAATCAGCTTTTTCTCATGCCCTTAAAAAAACACATGTTTAATACAAGCTAGATTATTTTGGAGGATGTGGCACTGTGTAGAGTGATTTTCTAACATATTAGGCTTATGCTAGTTATTCTCACTGTGTTCAGTCTTGCCCGTGTATGGCACTCAAGGGTTTTTGGATGAATAAGTAAGGTTAGGGATGTGAAAATATAGATATTTTTCATTATATGCTATATTTTACTGTGATAAACTAAGCTATTTATTCCCATTATAATAAATAGTAGAAAGCAGATTCTGAAATTTTATTTCCAAAATCACATTGACAAAAATAGTAAATTTTAGTTTTAGTTTAGAGTTCATTATAGCTTGCCCTCCCTCTCGTAGTAGTTGAGCATAATTTCAGTGAGTCTTGGAACTCTCTCAAGCAAATACTGGAATCTGAAGTATTGGGCAGTGCTAGAGAGACCTAGTGAGTATGAATTCTGTGAATTGTTCCATGCAGAAGGGCAGTACTTGGCTGTAAGCACAACCCAAATGGAGAGTATTAGAGGAGGAAGGGCATTCATACGGGGCCAGGGGAGCCAAGACGCAGCAAAGCTTGGGCAGATGCCAGGGTGAGGCCCCATCTTCCTGTAACACACAGGCCTTTGTGTTCCTGACCCTGGGAAAGTTTGACTGTTAATCACACATAAGAGCAGGTTTAACAAAGGATTTAGCAGGAGCTGAATTTTCAGTGTTTCCAGTTTTCCTTATAGTACCTAGGGTCATATGAGAGGGAAGGACCCAGAGGACTCTACAGGAACTCTTCTTGGATGATTGAATACTGAATAGATAAGCTGTCATCCGTAGACTGTATGTTGGCCACTGGGAGCTGGGGCTGATGGATTGTCTCCAGTGATTTTCACTGAAGCTATGGAGGTGTTGGGTTGGTACACTGCAGAGTCTTTGTACACGCCTTAAAGACCTTGGCATCCATTTCAGTCACGACAAACACTACCACTAAAAACAAGCAAACAAACAAAATACTTGAAATGTGTTAGTCTGGTATTGTGACATTTTCTCAGCCCAAAGTTTTGGGGCCATTGGGCTCCTCCCATTTTTACAGGAGGCCCTTACTGGTCATAGGCATAGGGCATGAGGCACTAACTCATCCTTTCCTCTCAAAATGCCAGTGCTGTTCTTTAACTCTTCTGTATCCTCTTGGCTTCTCATTTCCCATTTTTTCCTTCCTTTTGTCCATCACTGCCAAGCTTAGGTTTGACTTAACTCCTAGGTTTGAGAAATTACCATTGGTTCACTTAAGTAAAAGATATCTTTTGCTAGTACAGATAGTGAACATTTAACAGTGTATTTTTTTGGGGATTCAAGAATTTCAGTGACTACCTATAAGATTGGTTAGAGTTTGTATTTTAGGTAGGAAAGGAGGGTCAGTTTGGTGAACTTGGGAACTGTGGACCTTGAGTGCCTCTTGTAAACTGATGATGAGACTAAGTGCTCTACAGAATTGCTCTTATGTCAAAACAAACAGCAGCTTCTGTTCTGTCCTCCTAATGATTCATTGTAAATAAATCAATGAAGCACTCTTATTCCAGGTTTATTTTTGCTGCGGGTTTAGTAACCAGGACCTAGAATTAGCTCTGTTAAATGTTTATTATTATGTTAGATATTTACTGTAGTTGAATTTTTACCTGCATTATAAGCAATTCCATTTTTTATTGAACCCAGTAATGCAAATATATTTTGCTTGATGATGTGGAACTAGAATATATAGTATTTTGTCACAATGCCAATATCATGAGTTTCCTTTTGATACTCTTCTTTTTTATAGGTTCTACTGTTCTTCAGTAGTCAGTGTTTGGTTTCCTGCTCACATCCCCTTAATCAGAATTTTGATTTAAAAAAAATAAAATAAAATTTCTTTTCTCATCATTACTGGGGCAAATTGTTTCATGTTTTCCTAAAATGAAAAAAAAATATTCTAATATTCTAGCATAGTTTTACCTGTGATTGTAAGACTGAATAGTACTCATTAAGCATAGACTACAGTGATAATATGTTTTTGTCTTGCTGTAGAATTGTTGTAATTATCCGAAAAAGAAATGCTACTCTGTAGCTGAAGTAGTGTGAGCCCTTCATCAGGTCTGATAATCATACTGTATACTTAAAAGTAGTCTCTTACTGACATCTGGTTATTGAAACAACAGACAGACACCAAGAAGAGGAATATCAAAGTCTGGCAGAACTGTGAGAGGCCAAGGGGAAGTCTTCCCATGTTGTTTCTGAGAAGCAATCATTGTAACAGAGAGTTTCCCTTCTATTTCATTGTTCAGCAATAAGTACCTTCTGGAATTTTAAAAATGCATGTTTCTTCTGTAATTACTGCTTTCAATGTTTAGTTCTTAGACTGTTTAGAAAGTATTGCATTTGCTACCATAGGAATATTTTAAATAAACCTGGCATTCAGCAAAGCAAGGTTTTGGGTTTTGGGGTCAGGGGTGGGCATTGTACATACAGAAGAAGATGATCTGCTAACCCAGAATTGTTGAAACTGTTCCTTCAATATGTCTTTACAGAAGTCTAATTCACACAGATATACCTCTGACTTGTATCACCTCCAACAGGCCAAGAGGACAGAGTATGCCCAATCAGCTTAGGTGCATCACTGTCGATCACTAAGCCCACTCTGATTAATACCTTATCTGGTTTTGTTATTTTATCTCCATGTCAGCAGTTGCTGTTTGTGGTGTGTATGTGTGTGTGTGTGTGTGTGTGCAGCGCAGGGTAGGGGTGCTTGGGGATAGGTGACTGCATGTATATGTATGTACATGCTTGGAGTCAGGTGCCTTTCACAATTGCTTTCTACCTTACTTGGTAAGACAAAGTCTCTTACTGAAGCCAGAGCTCATGGATTTGGCTAGACTGGTCAGCCATCAGGCCCCAAAGATTCTGTTGCCTCTGACTCCCCCAGCTGCAATTATAGGGGTGGCCCATAATTCAGTTTTTTTCCTTTTGTTTTTGTTTTCTACATGGGTACTGGGGATCGAATGTAGATCATGTTTGTACCACAAGTACATTACTGTCTGAGTCATCTTGCTGGCTTCGGTCAACATTCTTTTTGCCACGTATCAGGTTCTGTTGTCTTTGAAAACGTGCCAACCTAGAACACCATTCCCAGCATTTCCTCTTGAAATCTGCTTGACCCGACATCCCCACCTTTCCACCAGGCTTGCTTCTAAGTCTCATTGTAACAAGGGTCTCTCTCGGTCACCAGCACTTAGCCATTCTACTGTTCTTTTCCAGCGCAATATAGAACCAAACGTCATGTTGATTTACCATCCCAGTACCACTCTGTCTCCCCTTCACCATTTTCATAGTATCATTTACTCTTAATCAAAGTACCCACTTTTAATATTTCTGTTCCACAGAAGCCACTTCTTATTTTAGTTGTAGTGGGTCTTATTATCTACCTTTGACAAGATCTTTGTTTCTGTTAAAAATTAATAACCTTTCAAACCTGTTCTCCATCTTCTGCAATGCAGTATTTCTAAGCCTAGGCTAATATGCGAATAACCTGGAGAAGAGTTAAAAAGCTCAGGGCCCCTACTGCCTTAAATCTCTAGACCAAGACACAGCCCCAATCTTTGTGAAGTTGTTTAGGGACTTTCAGCTATATCCTACATTGGCAACTAGGCACAAGGCTGTGAGAAAGAGCCTTGGCTATTTCATTTCCTTCAAGATGACTTGATTTTCCTTTATGAAAAGTATTTATATAGCAATCAAAGAATCACTTTAGAAAGACTTAAGCTTTACTGGAAAGAATTAAAACAGCCTTCTGGAAATTACAGATGAATTTCACCTGAAGAAACAAAAAAAAATGCCTTCTGAGAATATTTGAAGTGGAAGAACTTCTGGGTTTGAAAAAATAATTTTCAGTGCCAATAAGATGCATCAATGGGTAGAGGGTAATGCCATCAAGCTTGACAGCCTGAGTTTGATCCCTAGGACCCTGGTAGAAAGAGAACCTGCTCCACAAAGGTACCCTAAACCCTAAAGGTTACACATTACCATTCTCTTTCTTTCCAGCTCTTCCTTCTCTCTCCCATCTCTCTCCTTGCCTCTCCTTCTCTCTCTCTCCCTCTCTCCTCTCTCCCCCTTCCTTCCTTCCTACTCTCTCCCTTTCTATCCCCCTCCCTCCCTCTCTCCTCTCTTACCCCTCTTTCCTCTCTCCCTAGCTCTCTCCCCATACTGGTTCACACACACACACACACACACACACACACACACACACACACAGAGAGAGAGAGAGAGAGAGAGAGAGAGAGAGAGAGAGAGAGAGAAAGAAGGACC